ATGGATGGATGGATGGATGGATGGATGGATGGATGGATGGATGGATGTCTGCTAGCATCTTGATAGTTTTAGCATCTTCAGATGTTAGCTTTGATAGTGCTAGCTTGCCTTTTGTTACTTTAGTTCATTTTTTACTTTTAGCTAACTCTTTGTTGCTTTTAGCTTCTGGCTAGCTTTTGATATTCCTAGTTTTTACCTGTGCTTTTGTTACTTTAGATACTTTAAGCTACTAGCTAACTTTCCGCTTTCTACTAGCCTTTTGATACTTTTAGCTAAAAGCTAACCTATGCTAACAGTCTGCTAGCATCTTGATAGTTTTAGCATCTAGTTAGCCTTTTTATATTTTTTGCTTTAAGCTAGGCTCAAAATAGCATTTTTTGTGTTTAGCTACTTTCAGTTTTACCAGCTGAGTTTCAGCTTGTTCAGTAAAGCCTCTCAACTTTCACTGAACTCAGAGTTTCTCTTGAGTTTTATTTGAGCATGGAGCGTGCTCAGATTAAYGTCTGATGGATTGAAGCAACCCTCTGGTTTGTGCTGACAGGACAGGAAGTGCGACAGGAAACAGTCTATTTCTGTCAGGAGGAAGTGTTATTAGACAGCGTCTCACTTCTGAGCGGAAACATTCAGCCACTTCAGAGAAACCTGCAGCGACAGAAATGATCACTTGTATCAGCTGTCAATCAGTCACAGTGACAGTTCAGTTTGCTCTGTTTTTAATGAACGGCCCAGAAGGCCGACAGTGACTGACGTTAGTATAAACAGTGGCTGCAGGATGAAGAAATGATTTCGGCTGTCAGAGGCCGACAGTGGAGACACCCTGCTCACAGTCTTCACACTCTGCAGTGATGAAGGCCTGGTGTCGCTTTGGGCCCGGTTCTGTGGCTCCGCTCTGAAGAGGCAGAAACCTACAATTATCCCCAACGCTCTGACCAATCAGCTCATTTATCTCAGGGAGCCGAACACTCACATCCTGACCAGCACCAGACCCAGCTGGACCCATTCTCTGGGCCAGACGTTGGCATCAGGAGGAGGAGGGGCTGATTGTGCTCCTGTCAGCACCTGTTTCCTTCCACAAACTGAGGCTCCATCTGCAAACAGGCTGGCAAAAAGCAATCAGCCGAAGCCGTTGTTTGCTCAGAACATTCGGCTGTTTGGGCTCAGCTGCTGTCTGAGATGAGAGCTGAAGCCTGCTCCTGGATCAGAGCGGAGACGTCAAACAGCCGGAGGATTTCTGCAGGCATCTGGGCCACCATCGGTCGCCATGACAACTGTTGACTCAGGCTGTTCGGCTGTTTTGGCTCTTTCAGCTCTGCTGCGATTCGGTTAATATTTTGTCAAAGACTTGAACGTGTTGGTCCTAAAGGTCTGGTTTTCTGGGGGTCTGTGAGAGCTGAGGGGAAATCTCATTATTATTTTTGGCTATTAGCCTTTTGCTACTTTTAGCTTCTGCTTCCAGTTTTACTGGGCTTCACTGTTAGTTTTAGCTTTTAGCTGTGGTCTCTTTTTGTAGTCTTTTGTTATTGTTTTTGATTTTTTTGAGTGTTTTTGTGCTGGTGTCTTGTTCAGCAGCTCAACCTTTTTGTTTTTAAACATTTTGTAGAAATAAACCATGTTCCAAATTTATTTAGCTTTTATTGAACTGTATGTAATTTTTAACATGTTTCATTTCCTTTGATTACCTTACTTTTTTATTAAGCTGTGGGGAAAAAATGCTTAATTGTTAAAAAGTCWTTTAGGAAGAGCCTGAACAGATGTGCCTGAGCTTTCCTGTTTTCTGGGTGGTCTTTGAACTACTCAASCTTCTATGATTGGATAATCAGCTGTCAGTATGCCTTGTAGCCAATCAGTGCCAAGAAAGGGTCACATTGATGACGTCACAGGTTGTTCAGCCAAACGGAGGAACCAAAGTTTGCTAAGCGGGAGAGTTTGTTTTTTTCCGAACACGGTTTGTAGTTTTACATGTTAATTTACTGTAAATCTTCAAAATGGGTCATTTTTTTCTTGTAGACTCTTACGGTAAACGTAAGAGCGCTTTTTCTTGCCTAATGCTAATGCTAATGCTAATGCTAATAATGTTAGAATGTTAACAGAATTCAACAGGAGCCTACGCTAACGAGTTAGCTTCGCGCTAATGATAGGGCGCCATGAAGCTAACAGTTAGCTTCACGCTAATGATAGGTCGCCATGAAGCTAACAGTTAGCTTCACGCTAATGATAGGTCGCCATGAAGCTAACAGTTAGCTTCACGCTAATGATAGGTCGCCATGAAGCTAACAGTTAGCTTCACGCTAATGATAGGTCGCCATGAAGCTAACAGTTAGCTTCACGCTAATGATAGGTCGCCATGAAGCTAACATTTAGCTTCACGCTAATGATAGGTCGCCATGAAGCTAACATTTAGCTTCACACTAATGATAGGTCCCCATGAAGCTAACAGTTAGCTTCATGCTAACATGTCAGATACTTCTCCCCCATGTTTCTAAGTGATTTTGGACTTTATTTAATAATGTATATACACATAAAATTTGTGATTATTATTTTAAACTAATTCTAGGTTTTTATGAATTATTTTTATGTGTTTTATGAATTTGCACTGAGCTTCAGATCAACTGTGCTACCAAGGGTTAGCTCCAGGCTGCTTCTCCAGCATCTAAAGTTCTGAACTTCCAACAAACTGTGAGTACAAACAAAACTTTGAATTCTTAAAACCACATTTTAGTCAGCACAGACT